GTGAAACTCGCAGTTCCGCAGATTTATTCTATTTTTGGAGCAAATCTCAGAACTCTCTTTCTTCGAACTGCTTCTTCTTTTTCTTATTACACACATTACTTTTTGCTCAGTCTAAGATGTCAGCTTCTAGTTTTACGTCCGGCGCGTGGCGCGTCCATCATTCCTGGGCCGATGGTGAGGTGCACGACACCACCGCAATATCATCAGAGCCGGTTCCTGTAGACTTTCCTTGGGCCGAGGGTGAGGCCGAGGAAATCGCCGGCATCCCTTCGGCGTCCAACCTTGCAGACCGACTTCTTTCCACATGCACGCCGGACTCTCTGGAGAGAGTTCTTTTGTCTAACCTCTCTTACTCTTCTGGGCTCAACCCTATCTTCCCCGGTGAGTGGGACGGGCAGACCGGCCTCTGGGGCGCTGCATTGTGATCCATGACGACTACTTCCACTACGACATCCGGGGTAGCCTCCCTCAGATGGTGGTCGACTTCTGCCGGTTCACCGGCATCTGCCCTAGTCAACTCCACCCCTCCTTCTAGCGCTAACTGTTCGGGAGCAAATTTCGGGATGCCATGTGGGGGGTCATGATTCGTCGGGTATGGAGCCAGGTCTCCGAGTTTCGTCCTCTGGGGGGAAAGGCGGCGAATCGTCGTTCCGGGGCAGAAACTTCCTGTCGCGATGCGGCGGGGCGTACACCGTACTTCATCCTGCAAACGCTTAAAAAAACGTCAGGGGAGCCTTCGGGGGAGGACCGAAAGGGGGTTTTCCTCCTAAAGGTTCTCCGACGCCCAAGTCAATGAGCGTCCTACTGGGAACAAGTACTGGGGAGGGGGGGGGAGGGGAGTTTTCTACGGGTTAATCGTTAGGGGACTCGTCCGTAGATCGAGACTCCTTCCTGGTTTAAAGTGTTTTAAGAGAGATTTCTACTTGTGAAGAGAGGAATGCAGCCGTATAAAGGCGAGGTTCTAAGTCGGGGATAACTTAACCTATACGGCAATCACCTGGGAAGGATGTGGAGTCCACCCGTGATCCTACTGCGTGGCTGGGGATATTGTCTGTTTTAAGAGGGATTTCTACTTGTGAATCGAGGGATGCAGCGAGTATAAAGGCGAGATTCCAAGTCGGGGAAAACTTAACCTGGACGGCAATCACCCGGGAAGGACGTGGAGTCCACCTGTGATCCTGCTGCGTGGTCGGGAATATTGTCTCAGACGTCGGGAGGCGGGCTCCTCCCTTTTTTCCTCTCCCCCCCTTCTCTCGAAGGGTTCTTCTTCCATTTATATTCAACATTCCCTTGTCCTCTCCCCTCCGAGCCGCGTACCCAGGGAGCAGGTAGGAGTCATCATTCTGGCGTATTTAAGGAAGCCCGCCAACTGCACCAGTACAGTGCGCGGAAATGGATCGGCCGAGCTAGCGTAGCGTGTGTCAGCGTCCGATGTAGCCTAAGCCTACGTGGCGAGTCCTCATTCGACCCAGTAAAATGGGTCCCAACAGAAATATATGTTTTGAAGATATTGACATTTTTATGCATAATTTTTTTTTTACTTTTCTGTTAATGAGAATATTTTATATGAATTTTTAAATAGTTAGTATAATATCAAATCAGTTAATTTTTCTTATTAAATTTTTTTTCTGATGAACATTTAGTATAACATAATTAATTTTTTATTTTTTGTTTATTTTTTTATACTGGTTTCTTAAATAGTTAGCTTAAACCTTTATTTTTTTTTTGTTACATAAAGATTTTTTTACTTTTATTAGTTAAAAACTTACAAATTTATTATCGTATTAATATTTTTATATTAATTTTTTTGTTAATTTAATTTTTTAGTTATTAATTTCCATATTTACTTTTTTAATTGTTTAAGTTTTATGATATTAAATTTTTATTTTATTTTTATAGACGTTAGAAGTTTGGATTTTTGACATAAGTTTTTTTTAATCTATTTTGTTAGTTAAACATTTTGATTTTAATTTTTTATTCTAATATAACATTTTTCATTTTTATATATTTTAATTTATTTACATTACTAATCAAATTTAACTTTTTGTATTTGAGTGAAAACTTTAATGTAGACCAAATTAAATTAAATTTGTTCATCTTATGTGAACACCTTCAACATGTGAACACCTTCAACAACACTTATGTTAAATGAATATAACAATAACATTTATGTTTCTCCTAGAGATGACATATGAGCTTTTTAGAGCTTTATAAACATGATACCTCAGCAAAATAATCACCAATCAAAACATTTTATTAATACAACTCATCTACTTATTTTAATTTTTAAACTTAAGCCTATTAAAAACCTAAATATTTTTTCTATTAGTTTTTGTTTTAGTTTTTACTAAACTCAAGCCCAAATAATTAATAACAGCAAATAAAATAAAATTTTATTTTATTTTTTGCCAAACTCAAGCCCAAATAATAAAAAAAAAAATCTTTGTTTTTCCTTTTTTGCCAAAGCCAAACCCAAATAATAAATAACAGCAAATAAATAATAAAAAAAAAATTAGCTATTTGTTCGCTTGACAGAGATATACGAAACAAGTGTAGGCTCAACATCAACTATGATTCCATAACAACAACGCAGAAAGCCTTAAGAAGCTCACACATCAGCAAAAATTTGAACCGATAAAAACATAACAATTTCTTAGTTTTCACGGAAAAACACAATTTCATGGGAGATAATGCAATTTTTGGTTTTCGCGGGAAATTATAGTTTATCTATTTTTTGTAAGAAAGCATGATTCTTGGTTTGACGAGAAAATGAACTTTTTGGTTTTGGCGGGAATAGACGATTTCTCAGCTTTTGTAGAAAAATAATTTTTTCGGTTTTGACGGAAAAATACAATTTTTTTTTAGTTTTTGTAGAAAGATGCAATTTTTTGATTTTTGTGAAAAGACATAATTTCTCGGTTTTTGCAGAAAAACACAGGTTCTCGCGGAAAAATAAAATTTTAGGTTTTAAGTTTGACGAAAAAATAATTTTTTTTTTGTTTTGGCTGGAATAGGCGATTTCTCAGTTTAATAGGAAAATGAAGTTTTTGGGTTTTGAAAGAAAATACGATTTTTCGATTTTTGTAAGAAGATGAAATTTTTTTGTGCTAAATTTTCAAGTTAAAATATGTTTACAGTAACCAAATTTAATTATTTAACTTCAACTATAATGATATTTGAACAGTTCAAATATAATTTTCTATTTTGTTCTAAAGCAATGATAATGGTTTGATATGAATGTTATTGATTATAGTTTGGTAGTTTTAGAAACATATGTTTATAATAACTATTTTGATAAATAAATAAATTTTATAGTTCAAGATAATCATATTAATTAATAATTTTTTAAATGGCATTTTGCTTTACATAATTATGAAAGAGGATCAAGTAGTAATTTATTGGAGAAAATAGATTACATTTGTCATTAGCATGAAGGTACTAAAAATATATTGTTTTATTCTTATATATACGTTTATAATTAGTTAGCTAAACAAATTTAATAACAAATTATAATTTTGAAAAATAAAAAATAAAAAATATATAATATTTATTCAGATTTTAAAAATATAAATACATAATGTAAGCTAATAAAAAACAAATATAACATTTATTTATATTATAAAAATAATTTTATTATATTAAAAATATATATATAAAATTTAGAAAAATATCCCGCAACAATAATAGTAAAAATACATATGACCCATTATCACTAGATTCAGAATCGTGTTACAAGAAAATTCATGTTAATATAAAAATAAAAATAAAAATCATTTTAATATGATTTACACTAATGGATTGCCCAACCATGAACCATCTTTTTTTTTTTTTTTTTTTTCTCGACGATGGGAAAGTACGTGTATAGTAATTTGATTGAATTGTCAACGTGAAAATTCAAAATTAGGGAAATCCATAGAGAATCAAATAATTATAAAGTTATAAACTGTTCGCGACTCGCTCCACCATCTTCAGCTTCTCCGTCTCCCGTAAAATCCATCCAATCAAAATAAGCTTCAGAGGAACCTCTCACCATTCACCACCGTCTTAAGGTCGCCGTTCTACTCTTCCTCTTGCTCTATTTATCTGTTCCTGATTCATTTACGGTTTTATTGATATTCCATTTCTAGGGTTTGTGGATATCATATCATGCCGGTGAGTTTGACTCCGAACGCCATCACGGCGATTATCGCAGGAGACGTCAATTTGAAGCCGCTATTACAGGTTTTAGATGTCAAATTGATTGGAAAAAGTCAGGAGAGAAGTCAAGAGAGGTACCGTTTACTGGTTTCAGATGGTGCCTCAGCTCAACATGCTATGCTCGCGGTTCAGCTCAATGATCGAGTTAAGTCAGGACAGCTTCAGAAGGGATCTATAATGCAGCTTATCGATTACATATGTAGCGACGCCAGAGGCCGCAAGTAATTTCCGTTTTCTCTTAAATCGTTTTCTCTCTGGTTAGTTCTAGTTTCACCATTGTGTTGAGTTGCATAATTTTGGTGGAATTTTTCCAGTGATTTCTGCTTTCTTGTTTGCCGGAATATTATTTTGGGTTCGTAGTTCAGTAAGTGCGACTTTGGAGGCTTGCTAGGTGTTAATGATTCTGTATGAAGGGGAAAAAGTTAAGCCATGTGATTATGTTGGAGGTTTGTGTCTGGCAATTCCATCTTTATTTTAGTTTGAGAACACAATCTATACACCAATTTTGCCTTCGGATACAGCTTTTAGTTTCTGTGAGGTACTCGATTTCTCACTCAGTTGAGTGTCCCGTGATGTTTTTGAGCATTCCTAGTTCAATAATTTAATTGTATGTGAAAGACATTTGTTAGACAAAGTAATGATCGCTTCTTTTTTGGTAGACATCTTTTCTTTCAAAGTTTATCTTATTTGGAGGATTGTTGTAGTCAGTTTTTACTTGTCTTTGTAGTTCATGGCATTTGATGGTAGGCGTTACATATTTGAAGGAGTTTTACTCTCTTTGATTGTAATTTTCTTATGCTACTATGCAAATTGTGTACAGGCTTATTGTGGTGCTGAACATGGAGACAATTGTACCACATTCTGAAACCATTGGGAACCCCACGATGTCTGCAGAATCTGACACAGAATCAGGCAATTTCCCGCCTACAAATAGGGTTGCTTTCAATGAACCGGCGTTTCAGCATTCTGTAAATAAAGCACCTCCCAGGGGAGTAAACATTCAAAGTCCAGCCAACAGCACTCCAAGTTTCAGGCCATCTGTTCAACCTTTATACCAACCACCTCCAAGCTACAGGAATCATGGACCCATAATGAAGAACGAGGCTCCAGCTCGAATCATTCCTATCGCTGCTCTCAATCCATACCAAGGTCGGTGGGCTATTAAGGCTAGAGTAACTGCAAAAGGAGATATGAGACGATATAATAACGCAAAAGGAGACGGGAAAGTATTCTCCTTTGATCTGCTTGACTCTGATGGAGGGGAGATTCGCATTACTTGCTTTAATGCTGTTGTTGACCGATTCTATGATGTTATTGAGGTTGGTAAGGTATATTTGATTTCAAAAGGAAGCTTGAAGCCTGCACAGAAAAATTTCAACCACTTAAAGAACGAATGGGAAATTTTCTTGGAGTCAACATCGACAGTAGAGCTTTGCCCCGATGAAGATGGCTCCATACCAAGGCAGCAGTTCTCCTTCCGACCTATAAGTGACATTGAGAACGCTGAGAACAATACGATACTCGATATGATTGGGGTCGTGACTTCTGTGAATCCCTCAGTGCCAATCTTGAGAAAGAATGGGATGGAAACCCATAGGAGAATCCTGAATCTAAAGGATGAATCGGGCAAGGCCGTAGAAGTTACGCTATGGGGAGAGTTCTGTAATCGAGATGGTCGGCAACTCGAAGAGATGGTTGAGTCAGCCTTTTACCCTGTTTTAGCAATAAAAGCTGGAAAAGTAAGCGACTTCAGTGGGAAATCAGTGGGGACAATATCGTCGTCCCAGCTATTCATAGATCCAGATTTTCCTGAAGCTCAGAGATTGAGGAACTGGTTTGATCACGGGGGGAAAAATACTGCCTCATCCTCCATTTCTAGAGACACTATGCCTGGAGGAGGCTCGAGGAATGAGATACGAAAAGCTGTTTCTCAGATCAAAGAGGAAGGTCTTGGAAGATCAGATAAGCCTGACTGGGTCACTGTGAAAGCAACCATATCATTCATCAAAACCGATAGCTTCTGTTACACAGCTTGCCCTTTGATGATTGGAGATAAACAATGCAACAAGAAGGTGACACGGACAGGAACAAACATGTGGCTCTGTGACCGGTGCAACCAAGAGTCCGAGGAATGCGACTACAGATACCTTCTTCAAGTGCAGATTCAAGACCACACTGGGTTGACTTGGGTAACCGCGTTTCAAGAATCTGGTGAAGAAATCATGGGATGTCCGGCTAAGCAGCTTTACACGTTGAAATACGAATTGCAGAACGATGAAGAATTCGCAGAGATTGTTAGAATCAGACTGTTTCATCAGTACTTGTTAAAGCTGAAGATCAAAGAGGAATCTTATGGGGATGAACAAAGAGTGAAGATGACTGTGGTGAAGGTAGATAAGGTTAATTACACATCCGAGAGTAAGTACTTGCTCGATTTGCTCGTAAGGTCTCTATAGTTATAACAAGAGCTCATAAACTCTCAATTAACTCAGATTATGCAAAATCGAGTTTAGTTTTCGGTCTTAGTACACTACTAGCCCTATGTTTTTCGAATCCCATTTGTTTTCGGATTCTACAAAATCAAGAGACAAGGGAGTTTTTACTTTGAGCACAGTACACACCGAAGTTTCATTACTGTAACATTAAACGAATACACAGAAGGAGACACATGACAACAACAATGGTGTAAGAAAGAACATTAAGTAAAGCCTCTTAGGTTCTCTTGACAGGGTCAAAGTTGGAGACACCGACGACGGCACCAATGATGACGGTGAGAACGACGCCACCGGAAGCAATACTGAGCAAGAAATTCTTGAGGGAAGGAGAGATCCCGGGACCGGCAGCTTCAGCCATCTCGGGGATCACCATCGAAGCGGTGAGAGCAGCCGCTGAGATTCCAGTTAAAGCCTTGTCGAACTTGAGCTTAGAAGCCTTAAGTTGGAGCCTCTGTGTCCTGTCTCCAGGTGCAGCCATGGCCTTCGATGGTTTCAGCGGTAATGGGATGAAGAAGGTCGAAGAGCGGGTCTGGTTAAGTGGTGTGACCAAGGACATTGTGGGGGTAGAAGCCATGATCTCTCTCTCTCTCTCTCTCTCTCTCTCTCTCTCTCTCTCACTCTCGTGTGAAGTTGCTTGGGAGTTGAGAGGATGGTGTTTGAGAAGGGGGAGGTTGTGGAAAACGAGGTCGGAGATAGGAGGATGTGAGTCTTACGTGGCAGATTCTGAGCTTTCAGTTGATTTGGATAGATAAGGTTATCTCAATTGGAGATATTGTTAATTAATGTTGGGGGTGATAAAGATTTCGTAAATTCGTCGAACGATTAGGAGATGTTTGCAACCTACAATTACTTTTTTCATGATGTTAATTTCTTAATTTTTAAATCAGGGTCTAGAATTATTTAGGTTTTTCATTTTAGTTTGAGATTATAGATAATTTTATAATTAACGGTCACATATATTTACAAATATGAAAAAATTGATAAAATTAATTAATAATAATATATATCATTTACAATATATTAATAAAAAAATTTGTTGAATAATATATTTAAAAATTAGGTTATTAAAATATTTTAATAGATTTAAAAAAAAAATTACAGCAAAAATAAAATAAATACAAAATTTAAAAATACTTTTTTTAAATGTAAAATAAAATAAAATAATTTTTCTTTATTCTTTATTTTTTATTTTTTATTTATATTTTTCATCTTTTTATAGTTTTTCATCTTATTCCATCACTTTTTCTTCCATTTCTGATTCGTAATTTTTGCTATATAATTGGAATACATTCACATATAATATAAACATTCATTCTTTATTTATAGTGTGACAAAATAAGATAATAATAAAAATGAAAAAATTCTCCTTCTAAAAATCTGATTCTGTAAATTTTATACAAACACTTGAACTTGTAAATATTTGCCAAAAACTTATTTAAAATAAAATTTTAAAAACTTTACATCAAAAAACAGATTTTGTAAATTTTCTGCCAAACACATGAATAAATAACTTTCACACCAAAAACATTACATCAAAAATATAATCATTTTATCAAAAAATTTATTTTGAGAATTATCTACCAAAAAATTGAATCCATAAAAACAATTTCACCAAAAATTTACATAAAAATATAATTTCAAAAAATACCAGTCAAAATTTTGATTCATGAATTTTTCGCCAAATAAGTGAAACCGTAAATCTTCCGCCATAAAAACTGACTTAAAATATAACTTCAACAAACTTCCATGAAAATCCAATCTAAAATTTTCCGCCAAGAATTGAATTTTGTAACTTTCCTAGAGTATTTTAATTTGATTTCGTAAATTTTTTGCCAAACATTATAAATCCAAAAATTTATGTAAAAAATGTAATATCAAAAACTTTCCAGTAAAATTTGTTGCCACAAATTTTGCGCTAAATATTTAAAATCCATAAATTTCTCAGACCATATTTTTGTATTAAAAATATGATTTCAAATTTATTTAGTCATAAAAAATAATCCAAAATATAATAGCATTTTACTCATTAATCTGCATAATTTTATAGATTGGTCAGGGCTGAAAAGTGAAATAAAAACTGAAGCCCTAGTCCAGTAATACTTAGTTTATTTACCGTTATGTCATTGACTTTCATTGTTCTCTGTAAACAGCATCAAATAAGATCAACAAACGGGGTCTCTCTCTCTCTTCTCTCACTAAAATATTTCAGAGAGCGAGAGATTTCTGTAATCCGAATTTGACCGGATTTTTTTTGTTGTAATATTGTTTCTGTATATCGGATTTCCTCTTCCGTTTATCGGATAATAAATTCTCCCTTTTGCAAGTGTTATTTTCAAATTCCGGTGATAGAAGTTTCATCTCTTCTTATTTTATCGGTTGGCTCAGTTTGTAATCTTAGGGAGAGAGAAATTCGTTGGATGAGTTATTTCTCCGATGAATTGAGAGGTGGTGGGTTATTTGGATGTCTTGGAGCAGGAAAAGAAGAGCTGGCGCATCTCGCGGTCCGGTGAAAAGTCTGTTTCTTTGCTCCCGATGACTCTTTGGTGTTAACTTTCCGATGATTAGGTGAGGTTTTTCTTTCTTCCCTGGTGACTATCTGGAAAAGGAAGGAGCAGTGTTTTCGTGGCAGCTTTGTGGAGATTTTGGCTAATCCGGTGGATGTATCGGCGGCGGACCACCGTGGGATTCTATCGGAACTGGAATCAACGATTGCAGTGATTTCATTTTAGCCTCTAACACGTGGCGTTTGGGCTTTTAAGTTCATACACGTGTTGTGCTACGTATTGAGGTTTTTTTAGGTTTAATGGACTTTATTTATTGTTTTATCTCCGGGCCTTAGTACTAAGATGTAACACTGCTTTCTCTACCCCTTCTGGGTTTCATAGCCTTTTGGGCTTAATCAATGAGATGACAAAAAAAAAATCAACAAACATATTTCTCTATCTCTCTCTCTATCGTCTTCTTCCTCTTCTCTTCTCTAATTTTTTTTCTGATTCTCTTCCTTATTTTTTCTACTTCTCATTCTTTTTTCTTCTTATTTCTTCCTTAATCTACTTGATATACCCATTTTGAGTTATCAATTGATGCTTTCGTTGAGAGCATATGATGGATTTTTCAGAATTCAAAACAGATTGAGACGAATTTACGGAGAACCTAAGGCAAGCGATGATAGACTATGTGGCAAGGAAAAAAACAACATCAGGGAAGAGTTGATCGCTCTTCTCAAGCATCAATTCGGAGGAAATTCCGACCATGAGTATCTATCCAAATCTCTGACTGAAGAATTACTCAAGAAGACGCCTGAGTACCAGCAAATGGAGACGACATGGGTGGAGCTGGTGAAACAACCTGAAGAGCCCAATCCAATGGAAACTTCAGAGATGCCTTTGAAGAATTTCATCGAGCACTTGGTGAGCGAGTCCTCAGATGAAGTTTCTTCCTAATCTGAGTTTTTGAAGGTTGCACAAGTGAGATATGACCACGGAAATGATGGATTCAGTATAGAATGAGGAAATTACAAGGTTCATAAAAAGAAAAAGAAGAGAAAACTTCGACAAACAGATCGCGGGTCTTCGGTTTCACCGGATTTAGAGGGTGATACGAGCCCTTTGAAGAGATTCTTAGGCGTTGACACTTCTTGAATGAAAAGATGATATAAGCCTGGGAAAAAATCCACAAAGTATGCACCGCGATGTGATCTGATACAAGCTTTACAAAGCTATGGTAAATGGCCTTGTGATCCAGGTCGAAATTGAAGTGAAGTACAATCTTAGCAGAGGGAGAGGTAAGCTTGCAATGTAATAGTAACTCAGTCTTTAGCGATTATTTAGAGAGAACACCCATCAGTCCATTGTCACGTTTCGCACCTCAGTCTAAGAAAAAAAGACAGAGAGTTGATACAGACTTGATTCACGGTTATGGTGATATGTTGGAGGTTAAGCTAATGGTACATGAGATGGATTGACAAGGAGATGTAGGGATGTTACATCCACTAGAAGAAAATGACAGTAGAGTTTAAAAAGTAGGGTGTTCTGCTTTTGATATACAAGCATATTTGGGTGTCGAAATCTATTCATGCGAGTATAAACAGCAAATTAGGCTGCTAGCTGGCCACCGCCTAGATGTTACTAATCATCTAGCACCTGAAGTTTGTGAAGGAAATAAAAGAGTGTATGATCGATCCCGGAGGAGCAACTTATGCTCAAGCTGTTTGGTTTGAGAAAGTTACAAGCACTAATAGTGTTCTGAAGTTGGAAGAAGATAGTGATCGACTTCGGAGGTTAACACAAGGGTTTCAAGGGTTATATGTATTGGGAGTTTGAAGTGGTGATCGTAGGGGATGTTCTGGGCTTGTTAGTCCGCCTTGGAGTTCAAAACAAAACGTTAAGGCAGATTATAAGCATATGGAATTGAGATTACAGGATGTGAATGTGAAGAATAAAAGCTCGGATGGAGGATATATAAAATTGTTGCTTGTGGATTATTGCTTTGAGGTGCAAGAGTTTACGCTTGTTTCAGATTGTCTTAAGGACAGGAGTGCTTCACCTCCAAGGTGATGAAGATATACAAGAAGAACCGGACTTAACCAAACCTCAAGTGTTAGAAGTGCCAACCGGAGCTATTACTAGAGAAAGAGCAAGAGTACTACAACACAAGTACAATAAGGTCATCATGTTAGCTGCCCAACAAGCTGATAATCAAGAACTTCAAGACGTTGATCAAGCTAGCAAAGGCCCATTCGGAGTTAAAGAAATTCAAGAAACATGGCCCTTGTTTTCTAAGCACAACGACTATAATTTCTTTGTTGTTTCAAGCAAGGTCCAAGACCCATAAAGTCTATCTCCACGATCAAAAAGGATTAAAGAGACAAATCATTGAAACTTAAACTATACAAATAAACTAGGTAAGTGTTTATGATTAATTTCATTACATTTTTGACTAATGATTCTCAATCTCTTTTG